TGGCTTTTTGAGTCAATATGGTGACGTCTTCAAGTCCATAAAATCTGAACTTTATTAAACAACTTTTCCTTTGCTTCATGACAATTCTCTCCAGATTTGAGTAGCGTAAAGACTGGAAATGACGTAGACCGTTGATTTCCGGAAGGTTTTAATCTTTCGGTAGATTGAATACTAGTTAATCTTCACTTAAGTTTGCAAAACGAAAAAATATAATCAAATACGCAGGACCACCATTATTAGCAGCAGCAACAGGACCATGTGGAACTGGATTCTTTAGGAATTTTATCTACGCAAATCCGCCGTTTGCAACAACGGCTATTCATAGCGCTCTTCTAGAGTACGCGTCTCAAAGACACAACATTTCCGTCGTAGACGTAACATTAAACGTATTAGGAAACGTACTAAAAGGACTTATTTACGGAGGAGAATATGTCGTAAAAAAAATCATTACGACGGTACTCCAAGAATATGATGGACCAGGTAACAAACCAGCCCCACCAGGGTTTATAAATATATTACATCCAAACGGCGGATTACATACATTTATGTTTTTAACGAGATTATTACAAAATGTTATCAAACAAACTGCGTTATTTGATACGAATAGTACCAGAAACAGTTGCACACCCGACATTAGATGAAACAGCTAAACAAGATACAATATCAGTGCCTTGATATATTAAGTCATATAACATAGGATTGACTGTACCAAAAGGATTAAAAGAATTAATCAGTGGTCAAGGAGTGAAACCCTACAATCCTCAACATAATAATTTTTTAAATACGTGCCAAAACATTTGTTAAATATACAATCTGCAAATACAATACCCTAAAGAAGAAAAAAATTTTGGATCCCAGCAGGAACGTACGCAACACCAGTCAATGGGCCAATAATAGCTTGGTCAAGATATGTTTTACCAGGAGATCCTAATTTACCATTACCTCAATATGCGTACCGATTTAAAACTGTAATATCCGCAGTTGTAGCATATACAAAATTTACATCTTATATAAGTATAGTAAAAGAATTTACAAAGCTTACACATTATAGATATCAAAAGAATACACTTCAAAATTATTTTTTCTAAATCAGAATTTCTTGTGTTTTCATTTGATATAGTTACAGTATAAGGAGTATAGCGTTTATGCGATCGGATAATAGTGGTCCAGCATTAAACCCAGGAAATTTATACCAAGTTTCTGGATGATTATTTGATGTAAACATAATAATTTTAGAGGTAAATTCTTCAAAACATCCTTTTACTTCAACTTTATCAGGATACCTGTCGCAAATCTTTAATAATTCGGCCCAAGGTATCCATCCATAAAAGAACTACTTCTTCTTGTTGGTAATTATGCCACCAAGGAGAACGAGTTTGATAATAAATAGATAAATCACCTACTGATTGTCTAGCAGCTCTTGATTTACCAGTTCTTGTTGGACCATAAAATATATATACATCAGATCGAAAATCTCTAGGATTTATCGGAGCCAAAATATTTTTTTAATCCACGATAATATCGCACATAAGCACATAGATAATCACTTGCAATATCCTTTAAAGATTGGTTATCTTCAATTATAGAAGTCGCAGCCAAGTCCGAACGTTCTCCTTGAGATTTTATAATTCCGTATTCCTCGAATACTCCAGATTTGGTTGAATATAATTTATTTTGTACCTCTGCACCACGTGCTTGTTCAATATGGCTTCCAGTGCATAACAAATTTCTAACGACTCTGAAGCACCTGGGAGATTTGAACCTCATGTACCCTTGAATGCGAGGTGTTTCCATTTGAGTTCCTATTTCAAAACCAAGTAGTAAGTAACCATTATCTTCTTTTAACTGATTACCTAAGACCACAAGGCAATCGTATTCTTCATCACTAGGAAAAGCTAGTTTTCGTTTGATAGCAGAAGTAGCGGATGAACGCATGACCGTATATTATTCTAAAAATATTTCTTTCTCTTCCAGAGATTTCTCCGAAATCTCTAAAACAATAATAAACTGTAAGCGAATAGGGTTTTGTTTTCACTATAGCCGATTTGATACCAATGATTTGCAAATATTGATCAGGTACTGTTTCATTGGCCCGTACAAGGGACATATGCTTGTATACAATTTGTAGGGAAAAGAATGTGTTCCCAAATTTAGTTTAGTCTAAGTTATCTAACAACACGTAGGCTTCTCTTACCGGATAATTAACTTAGTTAATTTATATTGATTGATCTATTTCGAATACATCTGCTTGAATCAATCACATGAACCGCATTTAGACTTTTATTCAAAAGTCAATAGTAGGAAAATACATGCGGTAATAGTATTGATATTTACGGATTGTAAATAGATCGACAAATATATGCAGGTCCATACAGTTACCGCTATTGTCAATAGTAGCTAGAGGTCTCATCTAATAAATTTTTTGAGTATTATTAGTTTAGAATTTTTAACAGCAGCTTTTCTATGGAGCCAAAGGGATCAATAAATTTATTGTGAACTTGTGGTTATCCTGCATAAACTTTGTTTTTCAACCGATTTATTGCTCTGTCGATATTGCCTCATCTGTCGGTTCTTTACCGTTACATAGCCTCGTTAACTCGTCCACAGCTCACAAATATACAGATCCCTGTTGACCGTCCTGTCCTCCTCAAGCGTTTTTCCGTGTATAAGCCATTTTTTTTCCATCGTTTTTGGGATAGGAATTTGCGCATTTTCCGGATGTATCCGTTATATCTACGTGGAGACATCACTTTGTTTTCACCGGTAACAATTCTGTGTGCAGACCTGTCTAACCTTTACAGCCTGTCATTACGGATGCCTCTAACTTGGTGCCGGGCGAGATGCTAAGAGATAACGATAAACTGTTTTTTTTGTTACACTGTTCAGTCAATTTATGGCGTACCTAAGCTTTAAATTCCTGAGTAAATGCTACCTACATATATGTAAGTTGTTTATTGATAATCCGTTGTAGTCAATTTTCTTACCCAATTTACGACTTTCTGGTTATTTTCCAGCTTACTCACCCTTCAGTTGCTTTGTTAGCTATTAAACCTCACCAAAAGGGGAAATAGTGAGCATCGGAAATGTAATTTTTTTTGCATCTGGAACTTTCGTTTTTGAAGCCTCATCTTGACACAAAATTCGGATCACTACACAGATATTACAATATGTTCAAATGATGTATAGGAATTAACTAATACATATATGAATAAGGATTCAGTAATACATATAGTATATAATCCTTACTCTGAAATGACAAAGAAACGATATAATTTGAAGACTTAAAACATACGGTGTAGCGCACATAAACCAACCAGTTTGCCTGAGTTCAGATGTTAACTCCTCATTGGACAATCATCACTGCATTTCTCAACGTCCACAAGAATTGCATGAGCGGAAGTGTGGTTATTGTGATAAAAAAAAAAAAGCAAAAAAAAAACAGAATTAAGTTTTTCAATTTTGCATTTCTCAACTGGCAGGAAAATAACACTATTTTCCAATCAGATTTATTCGCTATCTTTGGGATCAAGCTGTATCCGGAAAAGAAAGATTTAACAAAAAGAAATCCGAAAATGGTAGATATAAAAAAAAATAGCCAATGTATGCTGTACAAAAATATTTTAGAATTTTAGCACATAAGTTTGTACGTCAATGACTTAATAATGGAGTATATTACCTTTTGCAATGGAAATCGTCTGGAAATACATATCATTGCCGAACACTTACTTCATATATATGCTGCAGCATTAGCGTTGCACTAGACAATTGACCCTCAGCAAAAGATTTTCTATTCCAAGGATAAAAGCTTTTATATAGTTCAACTGACGAGCTACAAAAAGTAGAAAACGGATATTTTAATTATAGGGGCAAAAGATTAATTAATCCGCTGAAAGTGTGTGAGTATAGCTACGATTAAGCCTAGGTCGACATGTAAATAATCGACCGTTCATATTACACAAGTTCAAGTAAGACCTACATAATCCAATTTGTTAGAAACCTACTTAAATATTTTAGCGATAAACGTTTTGTTCTACTTCTAAACAAAATATTCATTTCGTAAAGACAGTAGACTTGTTTTGATGCCTAAATAGCACAAGTTTTCTGTCACATTTTTTTATCAGTGCCGACTACTGTTGCTACGCATGCTGTCTTCATGGTGTTGTAATGGCAAAATACTATTTTACATGCCTATTGAAGACATGTAAAAAAATAGTCTGGGTTCGCAACCTAGCGTAGACACACTTGATCTTATATCAACGGGGGGCAAACTGTCTGAAACAATGCTTAATGGCATTTCTAGGTGTAGGATTAGAAATTACTCCAGATAATGACTACTTCTGCTATTTGATCTTTAGCAATTTACTTTGAGTCTTGCTTTCTACTCCGCTTGTTTGTATTCGTTCAGCATTTGTTGCTTGAATTTTTGCTTTTTACTATACTTGTACTTTGCACTAGCTATTTTCAACATTTTCAGGCCAAATAGTTAACGATCGAAGCCACCCGTCGACTAGTTTCATTAATTTTTATGCGTAGCAGTCTCGCTATAAACGAGATTACTACCTTTATCCACGAACCATTATTAGGGCGTCATCAATAGGCTTCAAGACGATATCTAAGATTTCACAGTTATTCCGTACCTTATAGTATAGGGTTAGCGCGCAAGCCTGCCTAGTGTGTATACTAGGGAATTGAACTACTAAGTTCCTCACATTTTAAACCTGCGATATGGCCATTGAAGTCTGTTCCTTTGAATTTTTCCTTACAATCCATGAATCATCTACCGTCTGACGAGATTCGAGTGGTTCAGTTAGAGATAATAAAAACAAGTGTGCTCATTACCCTTGTTTTTTTATGAAAGCCTGTACTCGCGAACGGAACTTCCAGTTACCTAGTAATGCGTGAAAATGACGCAAAACACATGATTAAGTTCTTCGGAAAGATGGAGTAGAAATCAACTAAGCACCCTTCTCCCATACAATATTACCACGAAGTAGAATTAGCTCTACGGACAACCATAACATATGCCTCAGCCATCATTGTGAGCAGAAGCTTTTTAAACTTTAAAAAGGCCGCAACAAATGAATTTTAAGATTTGGAAAAAAATCAGCAACGGAAACAAACAACTGCTGGTATCTATTAACATTATAATGCGACCATATTTAAGAGATACTGTTATTATTGTTAACAATTAAGGATCCGTCATTTGACCACTGGCCACTGTACAACAATTGATTGCCCGCCCTCTCATCCTTCTTTATCCCTTAAGTATTAGATTTTGTAGGAGTAATTGTCGAATTCTATTGCTAGACCCCGTACGATAGTGGAGCCAAATTGATCCCTGTGGCACATCGGTTTCATTTTGACGCTTGGTCCTTCTTAGACGTATTCATTATGTCAAGCTGACACTAGTCAGAGTTTTCACAAACACATGTAGGACAATCCCTGCACCGCTCCCTTTTGCAGACGTCGCATGCGACAGAGCGATAGTTGAAGTGCATGTTTCTGGCACAGACGACACAGTCGCGAGCTTTCCTTTTGCCACGTGCTTGCTCATCTCGGGTTGCCTTCGATTGCATTGAGCTACCCTTCTTTCGCGACTTTCTTGTGCCACCTGAGGTGTTGGGCTCGCTTTCGTCTTGATCATCATTCGTTTTACGTCGTTTTGGACCGTTTGAAGTCTGTCGACAAGGGCAATCTAAACAAAGCCGACAGCGTTCTTTCTGGCAACTATTACAATTTAAGGCTATGTAGTTCCAGGTTAAAGCTTTCCCACATGCTACACACGAGCGGCCTTTCTTCCTGCGCACTCCTGGGGGCTGAAATGAGGCTTGTTCCGCTGGTTGTTTTTTTGACTTGCCTGATTTCATTGGCGAATCTGAAAGTTCCTTCCGAGCTTCTGCTGCTTTCGAAGACTTCGAAGCTGTACCTGGTTTTTTTCCACCATTTTGTTTTTTCTTGGATGTTCTTGCCTTTGGCACTGATACGGGCACGTCACTTTTGCTGCTGGTTGCCCTTTCTGCTTTCAAGATCGGTTCCGATAACTGCTCCCGTTCTTCATTTTCTTTCAACTTACCCGACTTTGCTGTTGGATGCGGGGACTCATTTTCAGTTTGAGTTTTCCTCGATATACTCTGCACTGGAGCTGCGAGGCTCCTTTCGGATTTCTTTTTTATTGACCTACCTGATTTTTTTGATGATTCATTTTCGGTCTTCTTTCGCTTCGTAGTTGTTGGCTTTTGCGTTATGTCTGACTGTGCATTTTCGGGTTGCTTCTCCCCTGTTCCGTTTGACTTTAAAGCATCAGTCGATTTCTTACGCCGTTTCTGAGAAGGTTCTTCACCCAGTGAATTGACTTGTGAAGGTTTAGGGGGCCTTATAGAACGCCCTGCCGCATTTTTCCCTAACGCCTCCTTGTTTTCTTTTCGACGACCTCGCGACTCTCTTTGACTTTTTGTTGTCTGTGTGTGTGTCTCAATTTCTGATTCGACAGCTGCTTTTTCGGATGATGTAGACTCGTTCGAAGAGTCAGCACGAATTCTCTTTTCTTGGGTATGGCTTTCGGGAAATTCGCCATGTTTTCGAGAAGGTTCATCCTGTTTGGAGGACGTACCACCTTCTGGTGGTTTTTCCTTAGAGAAGGGGCTGTTTGAATCTCCACGTTTTTGATCCTCTTTGCTTTGCTGGGTTATCGCTATGCCCGACAAGCTGGCTTCAGGAGACCTCTCACCCTCGGGTACATCTACTAAGCGCTTCGGTGATGTTCCAAATCGTTCTTTAGGCGTTCCCTCCGATTCTGTGTTCCATTGACTCTTCTCTGGAGTCTCAAAATCGGTAAGAACTGGTTCGTATCGAGACTCTCGCCTTGGTGTATTCTGTGGTAATGAACAAAGACGATCATACTAAAAGGCCTTTCTGAACATGTACATGAAAAATTGTGTTTATTCAAATATTTACACATCTTTGTAGCCTTTAGAAAAATAGTATGTTAACGTTTCGTGTAGGCACAAAATTAGAATAAGCTGGGTGCGTAACTATCGCGCAGACGCCTGCCCCCGACGTACTGACCCCTTTACACAGGCAAACGTACAAAAAATAATTGAGTCCATCTTGTCGTTCGGATCGTTTCACTTTTGGCTGTGATAAGAGGCAATTCAGATCTATCATTTTTTTCTGCTGTATATTGAATCACACCTGTTAGTGACTCTTGCAAGCATTATATAATAATGGCTACTAGGCCTTTTAACAATCTTATAAACTTGAATTTGTGGCGGCAAAAAAGCTGGTAGAGTTCCTCTTTAAATTTTTGCTTCATTCAGGCTTGTTGACCTACTGAGATACTATTATTTTCGTGTGAACAAATAAAAACAATATGATATTTAAATGTAATCGAGTATTATTTACTTTAAAGAAAGAGTAAAATAAGACTAGAAATAACATCACCAATATTCTACCTATATCAGCAAGTGGCTGGCTGCGGAAACGGCGAATAGGTCTGGCAGAAAGATCAGACGAGCAATTTCTGAATGTAGTGAGTTTCTTCATTTACAGCGAATTGGATATCTAGTTCCAAAGTAGTCCAGTATTTAATAAAACCGATAGTTGTTACATATAGATAAATACCCTAGTTAGAGAAATACACCAAGCTCACATACACCGCACTGGAAGGTATCCAAGCACAACTGACTTCAGCTACTAAGCTTACTGTAAGTGAACCCGCGTTGTTATCGAAAATCCTAAACTATAAAAGTGGTAGAGATCTGCAACCCTAAGGCTAATGAAATTAAGCTATAAAGATTGATAGAGTCTGTCAGGTCGATCTTCCGCACACAAAATGTTTGTAAATTTGTATTGTAAAAAAAATTTATGTAAAAGATTTGATCTAAAATATAAGTATCGAGAGCCTTAGCTGCTCTAATTGAAAGATACTTAGGTAAGAATCAAAAATCCAAAAGTACTTATGCCATTAAACGTATTTTAGCTCTATCACGTGATGAATCGTTACCTATTGAAACCTTTTTCACTGGAATAGTAATGTTAAATAAACAAAGTTGTCATATTGAGGCTTATTTTTTCATAATCTTATAACGAATTGATAATCGTAAACTGGTTCGGTTAAAAAGCAGTCAATTTAATATA